CCCGCAGGGCCTGCCTCCCGCTGCCGCCTTGGGGGTGGGGGCGGGCTAGGGTTGAACTCTTTAGCTTAATGTCTAAGTAGTGAGTGTGAACACACCCCTTTTCCCTGTATTAGTAGGAAAGTATTTAGTCTTTTACTATAAGTGTATTAGCTATGGACTTTTTGTAAATGCTCTTTAGCAAGTTGAGAAAATTCCTTTCTATTCCTATGTTGTCCAGTGGTGTTATCATGAAGGAGTTTTGATTTTTGTTATGTTTTCTTTTTTTAAAAAGGATTATTTAATTTTGGGACCAGCAGTTAGCATAATGGCTAAGTCGCTTGACTCCCCCACAGTCGACCGTGGGTCGTCCCACATAGTCGACCGTGGTTCGAGTCCCGGACCCGGTGGCTTAAACTCATACTGGGCGCATGTGCGTGTGTGCCCAAGATCCCGAGAGGAGAATGGAGGAGAAGGGATTGCAGCATGGCCATCCCCACTGGGGAGTGATTTCTTGCTTTCTATCTCTGTCTGTCTGGCAAGCATACGCGCCCTATAGCAAAAACCTCTCAAAAAAAATTATTTTATTTTATTTATTCATTCATTTATTTTAATTTGACCAGAGAGAGACAGAAAGTGAGAAAGCAAGCCACCAGGTCCTGGACTTGAACTGTGGTTGGCCATGTGGGAATGTCCATGGCTTAACCACCACGCCATCTGCTGACCCCCTTTTTTATTTTTTTTTATTAAAGAATTATTTAATTTTATTTATTCATTTATTTTAATTTGACCAGAGAGAGACAGAGAGAGAGAAAGTGAGAAAGCAAAGTTTTGTTTTCTATCTTTTGGCATATTATGTCGATTTTGTCCTGTAGTTTATTACTGTACTGTGTTACATAGATTGATTTTCACATATTCAACTATATGCATTCTTAGGATAAGTCTTGTTTGATCATGGTGTATAATCCTTTTCATATGCTGCTAGATTTAATGTAGTGTTTGGCTGAGGATTTTTACATCTGTATTCATTGGAAATATTGATCTGTAGTTTTCTTGTGATGTCTTTTTCTGAATTTGCTATCTGAGTAGTATTGGCCTCATAGAAGAGTTGGGAAGTGTTCCCTTCGTCTATTTTGTGAAAAAGAATGAAGTATGTTGTTAATTCTTCTTTAAAGGTTTGGTTAGAATATGGGATCAGCATTTGGTGTAATGGTTACATTGCTGGACCTCCCATATAGTCCACTGTGGTTCGAGTCCCAGACCCAGCAGTTTAAAACTCTCACCAGATGCGTGTACATACGTGCATGCCCATAATCCCAAGAGGAGAATGGAGAAGAAGGGATTGCGATGTGGTCATCCCCCTGGTAGGTGATTTCTCACTCTCTCTGTCTCTTTCTATCTCTCTGGTGAGCACACATGCCCTATAGCAAAAAATTTCAAAAAAAAAAAAAATTATCAGTGAAGCCATTTATCTGGACCTGAACTTTTCTTTGTGGGTTTTTATTTTTCATCACTAACTCAGTCTCTTGTTTTTATGACTCTTTTTAAGATACTTTGTTTCTTCTTGAGTCAATTTCAGTAATTTCTGTCTTTTCAGGAGTTTGTTCATTTTATTTAGATTATCTAATTTGTTGGCATATAATTATTTCTAGTACTCCATTATAATGTTTTTCTTTTTTAAGAGAGATTCTTGCTTTGAGGGCACATGTGCTTGCCGAAGAGACAGAGAAAAATCACTCCCTGGGGGCATGACCACACTGTAGTCCCTTCTCTCATTTTCCTCTCAGGACTCTGGGCATGGGGACCAGCAGTTAGCGTAATGACAATGCCACTGAACTCCCATGTAGTCGACTGCGGTTCAAGTCCCAGACCTCATGGCTTAAACTCACACCGGGCGTGTGTGCGTACGTGTCCAAGATCCCAAGAGGAGAATGGAGAAGAGATTGTGGCGTGACCATCCCCTCTGGGCGGTGATTTCTCGCCTTCTCTCTCTCTTTTTCTCTCTCTTTCTGGTGAGCGCACATGCCCTATAGCCAAAAAAACCTCTCAAAAAAAAAAAAAAAAGGAAAGAAAGAAAAGGACTCTGGGTGCATATACACACATGCCCAGCATGAGTTTCAAGCCACCATGTCCAGACTCAAACCGTGATTGGCCATGTGGGAGTCCAGCAACATAAACATTTACTCTGTCTGCTCATCCCATCCGTTATAATGCTTTTAAATAACTGTAAGATGGATAGTAATAGCCCTCTTTTATTCCTAAATTTAGTAATTTGAGTCAATATAAACAGTCAGTGTAACTAAAGGTTCATTAATTTTTATTTATTTTTTTATAGAGAACCTTGAAACTTTTGAGTTCATTGATATTTCTCTATATTTTTCTGTTCGTTATTTTTGCTACAATCTTTTTAATGTCCTTTCTGTACTTTAGGTTTTTTTTATACCTTTCTTCCCCAAGTTTCTCATAGCAGAAAGTTAGATTTTTGATTTGAGATTTCTCTTCTGTTTTCATTTATTTATTTGTTTATGTGTATATATATATATATATATATATATATTTGGGGGAGGGAGAAGTTTTTAATATAGGGCACATGCGCTCACCAGAAAGACAGAGAGACAGAGACAGAAAGTGAGAAATCACCCCAGGGTGGGGGGCTGGTGGCCACGCCGCAATTCCTTCTCCTCCATTCTCCTCTCGGGATCTTGGGCACACACTCACACGTGCCCAGTATGAGTTTAAGCCACCAGGTCCGGGACTCCAACTGTGGTCAACCGTATGGGAGTCCAGCGACATAGCCATTATGCCAACTGCTGGTCCTCTATTATCTTTTTTAAGAGAGATTTTTTGCTATTGGGCACATGTGCTTACCTGAGAGACTGAGACAAAAACAGACTGAAAGTAAGAAATCACCACCTGAGAGGATGGCCACACCACAATCCCTTCTCCATTCTCCTCTTGGGATTTTGGGCACACGTGCACACATGCCCAGCATGAGTCTCAAGCCACTGGGTTTGGAACTTGAACCAAGAATGGCCAGTGATGTAACCATTACACCAGCTTCTTGTCCCTATAGCTGAAAACAACAATACCTTTCTCTTATGCATGCTGTTTTTGCTGGATTCTGTAACATTATTTTCTTTTTTGCCTTTGGAAGCAAGAAACTATGTCTCTCCTTGTGTTTGAGCTTGTACTGATTTGAGCGCCTTTGAATGATAAAAAATTGCTTATACTGAATTATTTTTGATGTACAGAAATGATAATCCCCTGTGTCTCTAACATGAATCATTGTCTCAAACATGTCATTATTTCCTATTACCCCTTGACTTCACTTATTTTTTAATGATGGTGCACACGTACAAGAGAGAGAAAAAACACCCTCACCAAGGTCTTGTCACCCTGTGATCCCCTTTCCTTAGCCCTCCAGTTTGTCGGTTTCTTTTTTTGTTTTGTTTTGTTTTGGTTAGAGAGTTTTTTGGTTATAGGGTACATGTGGTTGCTGGAGAGATGGAGACAGAAGAAAGTGAGAAATAACTCCCAGGGGGATGGCTGTGCTGCAGTCCTTTTTCCTTTTTTCTTCTCTCAGGATTTTGGACATACACACATGCACCTGGCATGAGTTTCAAGCCTCCAGGTTCAGGACTCAAACATGGTAGGCCATGTGGGAGTCCAGCAACATAACTGTTAACACCATCTGTTGGTCCCAGTTTCTCAGGATCTTAGGCACCTGCACATGCACTCTGCATGTTTTAGGGCAACACAGGGATCTGAAACTGTGGTCAGCAGTGTAACTTTCAACATTAAATCCAGTATCTTGTGGTCTGTGCCATCTAGGCCATCAAGGTTGGGTCTGTCTGTGTTTTTACAGTCAAAGAAAACAAGCCCAGGAAGGGAATGAAACTTGTTCTTTATCATAGGACTGATATGTATCAGGCTAGAGCTAAAACATTATTGAAGACCACTTTATCCTGTACTAACAGTTAGAAGGAGCTTTTGATTTGATTGAGGGTCAGATGCACATGAAAATAATTTACATCTGGTCCATGATAATGGTATATCCCCAAAGTGTTAGCGAAAAATGTCTTAATTGATTGTTTCTGTCATTAAGTTATACTATTACTCATGCCTTCAAACATATACTGAGTGTCTGTTCTGTGGCCTATCACTCTATGAGTGAGTGAGATCCAGGGAGATGGGGGGGAGAGAAGGTGAGAGAGAAGAAGGAGAGAGGAAGGGAGAGAGAAACAACCTTGTTACTCTGAAGTAGCTTATGATCTAAAGGAGTAGGGGAACAAATGAACCATCAAATATGATGCATTAAGCTAAGTTATTGTACAATAGATATTATACAGTAATATCTATTGTAGTATACAATGCCATATACAGTAGATACTGTATAATACTAGGTGTTCCAAAGAGCATAACCTAATTGCTTAGAAAGAAGAGAGAAAGTGGCCAGTCAAGGAAAATTTCTGGCTGTTTGGCTTGTATTTGGAAGGAAAAAGAACATTTCAGGTAGAAAAGACAGGGAGAAGGGCCAGCAAGTGGCTTGGTGGTTAAGGTGCTGGAACCCCACATGGCTGACTACAGCTCGAGTCCCAGACCTGGTGACTTTCTCACTTTCCTTCTCTCTCTCTCTCTCTCTCTGTCTTTTTCTGGTCAAATGAAAATAATAATAATAAATACATAAAATAATTCTTAAAAAAAGACAAGACCAAGAACATTTTAGGCAGGGGAAAGAACACATGCAGAGTGGCCTAGCGAGAACTTGTGTCTGAAGCCTGGAATATACATTGGGAAAGATGAGTCTGGAAAGAAAAGTAGATACTGGATTATGCGGAGCATTGTTTGACAAGGCAAAAACTTGGACTTTCAGTTGGTAGGCAGTTGGAAGCTTTTGAAGACTTTCAGAAAGAAGGCTTTGAATTGTTTGTCCTGGGTGGGTCTGGGGGGTAGCTGCTCTTTTCAGCCGTATCTACTAATAGTTCTTTCTCACCAGTAAAATGTTCCCTTTCTTTTGCTTCCAGTTCACTGAGACATTTTTGACTGAGAGGGACAAGCAATCCAAATGGAGTGGAATTCCTCAGCTGCTCCTCAAGCTGTATGCTACCAGCCACCTCCATAGTGACTTCGTTGAGTGCCAAAATATCCTCAAGGTAACTGCTAGGGGCCGTGGCAGGGCTGTATTCAAGGCATCCAGATTACATAAGCTGTCTGCTTTCTAAAAATTCTGTTTCTGTTGCATAATCTGTGAAAAATTTAACAACTTCAGAAAAAGTACAATGATGAAAATAAAAATCACCTATAATTCTACCACCCAGAGGTAATTGCTATTAGATTCCCTATGTGTATCCTTCTGGGCTTTATTCATGCCTACTTTGTGGCAGTGCTTGCTTTATTTAGGAGATCAGTACTGTACTCTAGGATTTGAATAGCATTCTTTTTTAACAGGGTTTAAAAGAGCCCATTTTGTTAAAGGTTCATGTTTTCGATTGTAATCATTCAATATAAGAAGACTAAAGAAGGGGCCAGGTTTGGGAGTGGGTAAAAAGAGTATAAAGACATTGCTAGGGCAATTGTTCTCAAACTTGAGTGTGTATGAGAATCACCTTGAGGGCTTTTTCAAACAGCTCTGGGCCCCATCCCTAAAGGTTCTGGTTTAATGGGTTTGGAGTTACCAAATCCAAACTTACCTTGGGGCTGGACCCAAATTTGAATTTAGCAGCTTTAGCTGCCATTATAACCCAGGTAAATTCTATTTGATCATAATGAAGCTGAATGCGTTAATGTTCTTCAGAGATGAAGTTTTGATTATTATATCATGTAAATTAATCTGAAATGTAATTGACATTAAATGAGCTTAGTCTTTAAAAAGAGATGTTCTTATGTTCTTGATCTTCTCACAGTCTATAGAAATAATTATAGCTTCTTCCACTTGTTAAAAAATGCTTTTCAAAGAAGCATTATTTCATTTGATACCTACAAAATCTGAGAGATGGTACCAAAGTGAAATTAAGTGGAAGGAAAATTAACATTTGTGAATCCTTGCTGTGTGATCAACATTTCTTAATTCATCCAGCAAATACTTATTTGAAACTTAATACAAACCAAGCTTTTCTGTAAGATTGTTTTCCTGTTACTTTGTTCTTTATGAAGAAAGGTTTTTTGGTTGGTTTGTTTTTGTTTTGTTTTGTTTTAAGACATAGAAAGCATAAACTTTAATTCTACTCTCTTCCAACACAGAGTCCTTGCATGCTTCTCCTCAACCCCTGGGCAGTCACTGAAGGTCAGGGTAAGGGAGGCCTGAGAAAAATTTCTGCTTTTTTCTCAGAAGATGTTGGGAACAGGCCAGGGGAGGAAGAAGAAAGGATTTTGTAGCCCCACAATTTGAGAAGCACTGCATACACCTACTGTATCAAATACTTTTTATATTTCCCAGTATCTTCCACAGACCTGTTATCCCTTGTATATGTATCAAATACCTATTGAGGATACATAAAGAAATCAGTTTGTTTTGTCTTCAAGGAAGTCTAGGGAAAAAAATAATATAGATAGGTACAAAGAAACTTTTGTGAATTTGCTAAATGCTACAAATGAGTTACAGATTGCTTTGGAGGTTTAGAAGAGTGTCAGGTTGCTTCTGTCTGGTGGAAATGAGGGGGAACTTCCAGCAGGAGGAAACACTTGAGCAGTGATTTGGTTATTGCTGTAGAACTAGTCACCCAAAAACTTAGTAACTTGAAATAACAACCATTATATGTCTGTCAGACTTTTGTTGATTGAGTGGCTCTTTGTCTCCTGTGGTATTCAGTGGGGCACTGAGACATCACGAATGTCCAGAATGGCCTTGCTCACATGCGGCCATCAGCTGAAGATCAGCTAAGAATATCACTCCTGGCCCTAGTTCTCCTCAAGTGGCTCTCACAGCATGATAATTGGGTTCCAAGATGGCAAAAGCCAACTTTGCCAGGGCTTAACTCTTACACCAGAAGTGGCATAGAGTTACTTCTGTTACATTCTGCTAGTTTAAGTGAACCACACCAGACCAGATTCACTATGGGAAAAGAGTCTACAGGGGCCTGAATACCAGGAAGTGAGGTCACTGGGTGGCAAGGATTGTGCTTGGGAGAATTCAAGTTGTGACTAAAATGCAAGCTGATGTTTTAGTGTTTGTCTATGCTTGATACTAAAACAGAGTATCTCTGCTTTTTTTAAAAATAGGAAATTTCTCCTCTTCTCTCCATGGAGGCTATGGCATTTGTTACTGAAGAGAGGAAACTTACCCAAGAAACCACTTACCCAAATACATATATTTTTGACTTGTTTGGAGGTGTTGATGTAAGTAGCTATTTATTGTTGCTACTATTACTGCTACTTGAGGGTTTGTGAATTGAACTCTTCAAATGAAAGAGAGAAACATTTCAGAATTTATAGCAAACATTTCAGATTTTAACTTTTAGAAGCTCAGTGACATTCACCTGTGTTAAAGCAGCATAGGTTTTACTTTAGTCATTTTTTTTTTTTCTTTATTCACTGTGTGCTTATGAAAGAGAGAGAGGAGTGTCTCCATAGTGTCTGGTCATACTGCAGTCCCCTTTTTCCAATCCTCCCGCCCAAAAAAATCTTAGGCACTCATACATGTGCACCTGGCATGTCTTGGGCTGACTGGCTGAGGACTGGAACTGTGATCACCATGTGGGACCTGGCCTTTCCTGAGCAGCACGTAATTAGTACACCATGGGCCCGCCCAATTTTTATAGAAGAATTTATTTGTTTAAATTGATAGTGCATTTACCTTTTTCTAAAGATACAAAAGGAAAAGTGGGTCTCCCAAGTTCCCAGTATCCTCTCTACAGCAGTTATGATTAGTAGATTCTTAGAGAGATGTTCTGTGGTAATATGTGTGTGCGTCTATATGTGTACATAGCACCCTGCCATCTCCACCTTAGTTCATTTTTCCCCTACATTGAGTGCATACCATATATGAGGATATAGTTTCCCATATCATTCTTTTTTCATGTAACTCTCTAGCTTGGGTACAGTTTCATTTCAGTATATATAACTTTATCTCATTATTTTAAGTAGCTAAATAGTATTCACTGGTATAATTGTATCATAGATTACTTACCCAGGCTCCAGTTGATGGACAGTTAGAATTTTCCACACCTTTTTTATAATTATAGACGAAGTTGCAATAAAGATCTTGTACATGATTCTGTGTACATGTGAGTGCGTGCTTTTGGAACCAAAGCATATGTGTCATTGGCTGTTTATAAACCTGTAACTTACATAGACAGCTAAGAGATTTTCTTAACTTACATCCTCAATTACAAAGTATGAGCATCTGTTTATCCACACCATTACCAACATATTTTGATGGACTTTGTTATTGAAGATAACCTTCATACATTATAGAAAAATATACCAGTAACTACCACAAAATAAATTCACTTTAGTCACTGATGCACAAATAAAAAAAAAAAAATAGAACATTACCTGGCACTCAAAAGCCCTCTTCACTAGAGTGTATTTTTTTTTTTTTTGAGAGGTTTTTGCTAGAAAGACAGACAGAAAGCAAGAAGTCCTCCGCGCCCCCCAGAGGGGATGGCCACACCGCAATCCCTTCTCTATTCTCCTCTCAGGATCTTGGGCGCGCATGCACATGAACCCAGCATGAATTTAAGCCTTCAGGGCCGGGACTCAAACTGTGGTCAACTACATGGGAATCCAGTGACATAGCCATTTTGCCAACTGCTAGTCCCACAGCAGAGTGTATTTTTTTTTAATAATTATTTTATTATTATTATTATTTTAATTTGACAAGAGAGAGAGACAGAGAGAGAACGTGAGAAAGCAAGCTCTTCTGGGACTTGAACCATGGTCGACTACGTGAGAGTCCAGTGTCTTAACCATCATGCCACTTGCTGGCCCCCAAAGAGTATATTTTGAGAATTTACTTAAAAATTTACTTTAGTTGATATGAGAACTAGGAATTACATTATAACTAGTGTGCAAAATTGCTTTGTATATTTGGTGAGTCTGTAATGTAAATGAATTGATTATTATTTCTGTATTACTACTAATTATGTAGCTTACAATGAAAAATCATATCATTTCCATTTGATTTGGAGAACTCAGCTTTGTGTGATCATGGTATACTTGTGGGGAGGAGAATTTTTTTTTTCATTTTGTCAAAATATTTGGTCATGGGACTTCAGGAAATAGGTTGTTAGTCAATTTTTTAAATGTATAATAAAGTTCATGATTTTCATGTGATCAAAAAAATTTTACTAAGCAGATGGGAGAAACATGATATTTCTTTGTAGTATTTTTAACCAGTTTTTTAAAAGTATGGTTCACATAACATGCAGTTCAACCATTTAAAGGGTATAGTTTAGTGGTTTTTAGTGTATTCATAGATATGTGCACCTGTTAATAGCTGTGACCCAAAGAAAATATGTCTGTGGGCCAGATGTAAGCCAAGTAGGCAGTTAGGGCATTTACTCATAGTCCATCTTCCATTTGAAGTGAATTTATTTTTAAAGTTTGTTTATTTCTTCTGTGAACAAAAAAGAAAGACAGACAACACCTCCCAACAGAGGTTTTAATACCCCATGTCTATCCCCAGCTTCCGCCAGCCCTGAATCATGGGCATGCTCATGCCCAGTGTGCTTGGGGAAGTCTTTGGACATGAACCTAGAATCATCCCGTGTGTGTCAGCCTCACAGAATGTTGTGTTTTACTGCAGAACCACCATTCATCCCTCATGAATTTTAATTGATTTAATTTTAAATTTAATATTCTGTGCCATCGAGCATCTTATATATTGCTTGGGCAGTGGTGATCTTTTTTTTAATTCAACTATTTTTTGTGAGGGGGTGGCAGCCCCCAGCAGGTTCCATTTACCTTGTAATCACCTCTTCCCCCATCCTTTCAGCCAGATAGGATCATGGGACACTGTAGGTATACCCAGCATGTTCAGTTTGACCCAAAATCTGAACCTGGGCTCTGTCCAGCAGTAGTCCCCTGCTACCTGTGTCACTTAAACTGTCATCTCTTTTGAAAAGCATTTGTATACTCATTTTGCCCTATTATTTCCATTTCTGGACTCACTTCTAAAAACCAAAATGAGATAAAGCTTTTATATTTAAAAAAAATAATATACTATGTGGCTTTCTGTGTCTGGCTTCTTTCACTCTGAATAATGTTGAGTTTTTTAAAAATCGTTTTATTGAGATATTATTCATATGTCATTCAATTCATGCATTTAAAGCTTATAATACAATGGCTTTTAGATATTTATAGAATTATGCAGCTATCACAGTTGATTTTAGATCTGGAATTTTGGGACCAGCAGGTGATATATATGGTAGTTGAAATGCTGGACTCCTCTGTGGCTAACCAGAGTTCGAGTCCCAAACATGGTGGCTTGCCTTCTCACTTTCTTCCCCTGTCTCTTTGTCTCTGTTGAGTGCATATGCCCTATAGCAAATTAAAAAATAATAATAATTTCAAAAAAAATTTTTTGGAGTTTCATCACTCCAAAAAAGAAGCCCTTTATTCCTTTAGTAGCCACTCTGCATTTCTTCCCAGGTCCCTCATCCTTAGGCAACCACTAATCTACTTTCTATCTCTATAGATTTACTCATTCTGGACATTTCATAAAAATGGATTCATACAACATGTTGTCTTTTGTGACTGGCTGCTTTCACTTATGTAATTTTTAAAGATTATGTCATAACATGTATTAGTACTTCATTCTTTTTTATTGTAAAGAAGTATTAAATTGTGTGGATGCACCACATTTCGTTTATCCATTCATATGTTGATGTATATTTGGATTGTTTCCATTTTTTGCTCTTATTAATAGCTGCTATGAATATTGGAATGCAAGTTTTTTGTTTTAATTTTTCCAGAGTGCACATGTGCTCTCTAGAGAGAGACAAAGAAATCGGAAAGTACCCTCCATGGGGAAGGTCACATTGAGTCCTTTCTCTTCCGCTTCTTCCTCCTGTTGGGATTTTAGGCATGCACACACACATCCCTAGTGTTTTTTAAGGTGCTGGGTCTAGGACTCAAATCATGCGGTGGCCACATGGCATCTAACTATCTTTTTTTTTTGGAGAGGTTTTTCCTATAGTGCGTATGCACTCACCAGAAAGAGACAGAAAGCAAGAAATCACCTGCTAGGTGGGGATGGCCACGCCACAATCCCTTCTCCTCCATTCTCCTCTCAGTATCTTGGGCACGCACACACACGTGCCCAGCGTGAGTTTAAGCCACCAAGTCCAGGACTCAAACCGCGATCGACTACAGTGACATAGCCATTATGCTATCTGCTGGTCCCAGCATCTTGCTGTCTTAACCATCACACCACAGGCTGGCCCTGTTTTTGTTTTTGTTTTGTTTTGTTTTAAAGAGAATACATTGAGAGACAATTGGCCTTGATGTCACAATCTTCCAGCCTCCAGTAACTATGCAGTGGGGTGCTTGCTGCTGTACTAACTGGAATACAGGTTTTTATGTGAGCATGGTTTACTTTTCTATTGGATTGTCTCCTTTTAAAATTTCTCTTGGTATATGCCTAAGAATAGAGTTGCTAGGTCACATGGTAACTCTGTGTTTAACTCTTGAGCGAGTGTCAAGCTGTTTTCCAAAGCAGCTACACCATTTCGCATATATGAAGGTTCTGATTTCCACACCACTGCCAAGAATTACTTATCTTTTTATTTATAGCTATCCTATTAAAGTATAAAATGGTATCTCATTGTGGTTTTGATTTTCATTTCCCAGTGACTGACATGGTTAAATCTTTCTGTGTGTCTGTTGGCCATTTGGAGAATGACTTTTGGGAAAACGCCTGTTCACCTGCTTTGTCCATTTTTTGATTGAGTTGTCTTTTTATTATTGAGTAATATTGTTTCTGCATTCTGATCCCTTATAAGCTGTGTAATTTGCAAATATTTTCTCTCATTTAGTGGCTTTCTTCTTTTTTTTGGTGTGTGTGATGGTGTCCCCTGAAGTACAAATGTTTTTCATTTTAATGAAGTTTATTTTACCTATTTTTTTTTTCACTTTTGGTGCTGGGTCTTTTTGTATATCTAAGAAACCATTGACTAATTTAAGGTCACTATGATTTACTCCTGTGTGTTATTCTAGGGTTTTGGTAGTTTTATCTTTTACATTTATATCTTTGATCCTGTTTGAGTTTATTTTTATCATAGGAGCCACAGGTCTAGTTTCATTGTTCCACATGTAACTATCCAGTTGTCACAGCACTGTTTATTGAAAATAATATTTTTCACTATTGGCATCCTTGTCAAAAATGAATAGGTCATAGACACTTGGATTTATTTCTATTTAATTTTTCTTTTCTATTTAAATTATTGTAGAGCAGGGGCAGCAGGTGGCATAGTGATTAAGGCTCTGGACTCCCACGTGGTCGACATGGTTTAAGTCCTGGACTCAACAACTTGAAACTCATACTAGGCACATGTACGTGTGTACCCAGAATCCTGAAAGGAGAATGGAGTAGAAGCCATCTCCCCTGGGAGATAATTTCATGCTTTCTGTCTCTCCAGTGAACACATGCACCCTATAGCCAAAACAAAACAAAACTCTAAAAGAAAGAAAAAGAAAATTAAATTGTTGTAGAGCACATGCGCTCACCAAAGAGAGATAGAGAGACAAACAGAGGGGATAGAAAGCACCCTTCACTGGGGCATGGTCACATCTCAATCCCATCTCTTCCATTTCTCCATCTTGTTGGGATTTTAGACATACACACGCACGCACACACGCATGCACAGGCTGGTGTGTTTTTTAAGCTGTTGGGGCTGGGATTTGAACCACAGTTGTCATGGATGATCTTTCTAAGCAATGCTTTAGATATATTGTATGTGTTGGTATAATTTCCCTTGGATTTTTTTTTCTCTGATTCAGTTATTTCAGGATGGGTTTTAAATTATCCTCATATTTGTAAATATCCCAAATTTTTTTATGATTTCTAATTTTATTCCATCATGACCAGAGAATATATTAGGTCATTGGGAAGGTCCTGATGTATTTTTCTATGCAAAAGATGCCTCATGACTTTTCTATAGGGCGCGTGTGCTCGCCAGACAGACAGAGACATAGAGACAGAAAGTGAGAAATCACCCTCCAGAGGGGATGGTCACGCTGCAATCCCTTCTCCTCCATTCTCCTCTTGGGATCTTGGGCATGCACGCACACATGCCCGGCGTGAGGTTTAAGCCACCAGGTCCGGGACGCAAACCGCGGTCGACTACGTGGGAGTCCAGCGACATAGCCATTACGCTAACTGCTGGTTCCCTCTCATGACTTTTCTGACAAGCCAGTAGTTTGTATGATTTCAGCTCTTTTTCATTTATTGAGACTTATTTTATGGCCTAACATATGCTCTCTCATGGAGAAGGTTCTGTGTGCTCTTGAACAGAATGTTGCTGCATGGAGTAGTACATGGAGAATTCTGTAGATGTCTGTTGAACTTGTTGATTTATGATGTTCCAGTCTTCTGTTTCTTTGCTGATCTTCTACCTTGTTTTCTATCCATGATTGAAAGCAGAGTATTAAAGTGTCCAACTAATATTTTTGAACTTTTTTTTTTCAGCTCTGTCACTTTTTGTTTTTAAGTTTGTTATTCACAATATACAGGGCATGGTTGCACATGTAAGAGAAAGAAGGAGAGATATCCTCAACAGGGTCTGATCACATAGTGATCCTCTTCCCTCAGCCCCCAGCTTGTTAGGATCTTGGGCACGTGTAGGTGTGCCCAGCATGTTTCAGGTCGACCAGGGCAGAAATTTGAACCTGTGGTTGGCCGTGTGCCTTCCATACTTCAGTTCACTAATGGCTACACTACAAAGGCTGAACCATTTCTATCAGCTCTTGTTTGATGTATTTTGGTGCTCTGTTGTTAGGTGCATAATGTCTGTAATTGTTATGTCTTCCTGATGGATTGGCCCTTATTATACATTGCTCTTCCTCTCAATACAGTAGGTTCTAAATATATTCTTATTTTAAGCAATTTAAGCAAAATTGTGTGTTGTGTTAAAAGTATGTAAAATGAAAAATGTATGCATATCATCGCCAGCTCCCATAGTGTTAACAATTTGTGATGTGTCATTTGAGAATTTTTTTATAAACATATATACAAATGTCTTTAAGCACAAGAATCATCATAGTAGTAATGTTCTGCAGTTTTCAAAAATTAAAGCTGCACTGGATTCCAGAGATTGCCTAATTTTGTATACTTTTTTTTTTTTGGAGAGGTTTTTTTTTTTTTTTTCTGTAGGGCATGTGCGCTCGCCAGACAGAGAGAGACAGAGAGACAGAAAGTGAGAAATCAGCCCCCAGGGGGGATGGCCACACCGCAATCCTTTCTCCTCCATTCTCCTCTCGGGATCTTGGGCACGCACGCACATGCGCTCAGCGAGAGTTTTAAGCCACTGGGTCCAGGATTCGAATCGGGGTCGACTACATGAGAGTCCAGCGACATAGCCATTATGCTAACTGCTGGTCCCCTAATTTTGCGTACTTTTAAAAAAAGTTTGTTATTTCTTTTTTGTTTTAAGAATTATTTTCTTTAACTTTATTTATTTATTTATTTATTTATTTAAATTTGACCAGAGAAGGACAGAGAGAGAGAGGAGAGAGAGAGAATGTGAGAAAGCAAGTCACCAAGTCGGGACTGGAACTATGGTCGGCCATGTGGGAGTCCAGCGCCCTTAACCACTATGCCATCTGCTGGCCCCAAAAGAGACAGAGACACAGATAAATGAAAATAGCCCCCCAACACCACAGTCCACTCCCAGCCTCAGTCAGGCCACATCATGGGTACCCATTTGTCTAACATATTCAAGGAGGTTCCCAGACATGAACTTAAAACTTTCCTATGGGACCTGCCTTGCAGAGAATTGCATTTTATTGCTATGCTATCATCCAGCCCTTAGCACTTTTGAAAATGAGGAAACTAAGACCCAAAGAGGGTCACTGCCCAAGTTTACATGGTAAATAAGTTGTGAGCTGGTACTAGAACTCAGGTTCCTAGATTTTTGCTACAGTGCTCTTTGTGCTGAACCTCATTCCTTTCTAGAACAAGAGTGTCTTACAATACTGTAATAGATATCCGGACGATGAATTTCATGGCAAAGATTGTTTTATAAGTTGTATTTTGAATTATTTTTGAAGCTTTTATCTAATTTCTTTCTTTACAGCTTCTTGTAGAAATTCTTATGAGGCCTACAATCTCTATCCGGGGACAGAAACTGAAAAGTAAGTATACTTGTCAGCTGCTGGTCCTCATTTCCCAACGCGATGATGCATATAGTGGCAATTCTCAGGAGTTGCTCTTTTTTCCTTAATAACTCTTAACAATGAGGACATGTCTTGCTTTCAGCTGCAATTTATTCTCTCTACTCTCAACTAAAAAGCACTCTACCCATTTCTGTACTGGATAGAAATACATATCTGGTGCTACCACTGGGCTAAAACAATTACATCTTTGTATTTTCTAATAGTTCTTTGATCCAGCTTTTGTGTTTTATTTGGACATTCTTATTTTGTGTATATAGGTAGCTAGAAAGTAAGGAAGAACCTGGTAAGATCACTCTTAGTTTGTTTTATTTAGATAAGTAAGTAAGTAAGTAAGTAAGTAAGTAAGTAAGTAAGTAAAAGCCAGGGCTAATTGGTGGTGTGATGGGTAAGGCAGCTGGATCCCACATGACTGACTGCATGGTTCAAGTCTCAGACCTGGTGGCCTGAAGAATACTCCAGGTGTATGTGCACACGTGCCCAATGAAGGAGAGAGGATAGCAGTGTGGCTATCCTCCGCCCCGCCCCCAGGATGATTTCTCACTTTTCTTCTCTTTTTGTCTCTGGCGAACACTCATGCCCTATAACAAAAACATAAAATATGAAAAACCTGTTCGTTTTTTTGCTATAAAGATGATGTGTGCTTTTTGTAAAAGTTCAGTTGTTATTAGACACGTATGGTAAGAAGTCAGAGCTTTTCGTAGTACATTATTTCTTAAGGAGAGTGGTTGGTGTATGGATATTATTCTATTGTTATTTTTAAAATTTCTGCCAGAGGATGTGTGTGCACACTGAAGAAAGACAGGTAGAAAGAGAGGAAGTGAGAAAGCACCCACTATGGAGGATGGTCATGCCACAGTCCTTTCTTCTCCATCTTTTCTTTTGGAATTTTGGGCACACATGCCCATTATGTTTTTTAGGTCTTCAGATCTGGGACTCTGAACCACACAGTTGACCATGTATGAGCCAACTACCTTAACCACCACACCAATAGTTGGCCCTAGTATTGTTTTTTATGACTTACTATAAATATTCTTTTTAGTCATTCAATATTTCATTTAAAAAATGGAGTAAGTGCATTTTATTCTGGCATTAAAAACCAGAGATCTTGGGACCAGTAGTTGGCATAATGGCTATGTCGCTGGACTCCCATGTAGTCAACTGCGGTTCGAGTCCCAGACCCAGTGACTTAAACTCACACTGGGCATGTGTGCATGCATGCCCAAGATCTCGAGAGGAGAATGGAAGAGAAGGGATTGTGGTGTGGCCATCCCCCCTGGGGAGTGATTTCTCACTGCCTGTCTTTCTGGCGAGTGCACATGCCCTATAGCAAAAACCTCTCCAAAAAACAAACAAACAAAAAAAAAACAGATTTCTTTGATTAAGATTTGATGAATATTCTAAAAATACAGTGTTTGTTTGGCCAGAAGGTGCGTGAACTTGCTGGAGACAGAGAGCGAGAGAAAGTGAGAAAGAATCCCCCATGGGGCGTGGATATGGCTCATTAGCTTCTCCTCCATTCCTCCCTCTATCAGGATTTCAGATATACATACACACACCCATTGCATTTTTTAAGCCACTGAATCCAATACTCAAATCATGCAGTTGGCCATGTGGGGTCAAGCTGCCCTAACTACCATGCCATGGGCCCCAAATACAGCATTTTTAATGTAAAAATAGTTTACCCCTAACATCATATAGATGATACTATATAAGGTCTAATTTATGTGTACTGCAGTGGTTAAGAGGATTCATAGTCATTTTGTTTTCCTTTTATGAGAGAGAAGGTAAAGGGGACAACAGAAAAAGAGAGGGAGAAAGACAGATATTTTTGACAGGGCCTTGCTGTGTCAGAGTCCTCTTGTTCTAGTCTCCTAATTAGCTAAGATTACAGACACAGCTGTACCAAGTATTTTCAAGTTGGCCTGGGAAGCAAACCCTGGCCCCCACGTGGTCTCCAGCCTTCCAAGCTATGGAACTATTTGTATACCACCACAACTGGGACGCATAGTTATCTTTAATGTCTCAGCTGTGTACTCTTAAGTTGGTCCTTCATATTCTCTATCTACCCTTACAGCAGATAGCATCTTAAGTTACTTGCTGGTACACTTATTTATTCTCTCTTCCTTCAACTACATGTGTAGATTTTATGAGGGCTAAGAATTTGTCTTTTTTTTTTTTTTAAGAGAGTTTTTCTGTAGGGTGTTATGCACTCACCAGAGAGACAGAGAAGGAAAGAGACAGAAAGCAAGAAATAACCCTCCAGGGAGGATGGCCATGCCACAATCCTTTCTCCTCCATTCTCTTCTTGGGACTTTGGGCACGAGTATACACAGTATGAGTTTCAAGCCACCAGGTCCAGCACTTGAACTGCAGTCGGTCATGTCGAAGTCCAGTGCCTTAACCACTGTGCCACCTGCCGGCCTCTTTTTCTTTTTTTTTTTTTAATTCTTTTTTGCTTAACGCAACATCTGCTCTAGAGAGTAGGTGCTGAGTGAATACTTGATGAATGAGTGAGTTCCAATTACCTTTGGAAATGGAGGTCTAGAAATTCTGAGATATACTGATCTGGTGTTCTACCTCACTCTGAAGTCATTAAGTAAATAAAACAATAAGCCCCAGTAGGTTGAAAGGTAGTAGTGAGGGACACAGGGCATCTACATTGTCTCTAGATTGTATGAGGTAATTCGTCTGGTCTCAGAAGGAGACATCTAGTACTTGAGAGTTTATGGCAGCACAGAAGTGAAATAGTTGTTTAAAAGTAAAGCAAAGCTAGGCTAAATTTTTTGCCCATGGTCCATACTCAGTTTTATCATCCCCTGGTTTTAGAGTCATGAAAACTACATTTCCTTTTTGTGTTGCTCTCCTGTTCCTACTCACAGAGAAATAGTAAGTTCTTTACTAGAATGAGTAATAGGTCAGATATTAAAAGCCATTTGTCCAACACAAACAACGACTGAACACAATGCTTAGTTGGTGAGTCTATAGTAAAAATGGTATCCTTGTCTGCCACTAGAGCTTAAAATGGAAATTTATAACAAGCAAACAAGGTACTTACTTTGGAGTCTAGTAGTTCTGGATGTGAAAATGTGTCTTGAGGAAGCAACTTATCTTGTAGTTCTGTGTGTGAAATGTTCTTGAGGAAGCAATTTAACGTGAACATAAAAAGACAATAACATATAAGGGTATTACAGACATTTCACAGAAAAAATGCATGGATTCCTTTTTTTTTTTTGCACCAAAATGAACTTGTTTTTCTGTGAATTTTTTTGAAGTTCTCGTATATATTAAGTTGTTTCTGGTCTATTCAAATAAAAAGAAAAACCCTAAAACCCTTTATATATTCTAAGTAAGACACAATGATGACACCAGAGCAGGTTGAAATGATGAAGATTATGGAGCATGATTAGTAAGTGGTTACTATATCAAACCAAAAAGTAATGTACAAATTGGTTTGTGGGTTCTGATGGACACTATGAAAATCTCGTGAAGACAAGGAGTGGAAGGTGGTTTACGAAAAAGACAATCATCATCTTGGAGGGGATTGTAATAGTTCTTAATGTTCAAAAAATGCAATACTGTTAAACTTTCTTTTCGATGAGAAAAATAACCAATTATTTCCCTTTTACTTTCAGTAAGTGATGAAATGTCTAAGGACTGCTTGAGCATCTTGTATAATACCTGTGTCTGTGTAAGTACCCCTGCCACTGGCACTCCATTTACCCCTACCGCATCTTCCCTGGTTGAGGAAAAAACAGCTGACTTGGTGACAGTGTCTTCAGACATTGGGGGAATAAGACTTGTTGTATGTGTGTCTGCAAACCAGGATGAACAGGTAAAATCATGGGAAGGCAGAATTTTGTAGTAATGTTAAAAGGCACGGCTGCTTCATCAGATACTGAATGCCTTTGGTCCTGGAGATGTCCAAGCTAAGACCGAACAGTTATTTGTCCAAAGGATGAAAAGCATGGGCAGAGTACCTATGACCTTTAAGGTTTCTTTTTAACTCCATTAAACCTATTCCTGGTGATTTCTTGCTTTCTCTCTCTTTGTCTCTCTCTGTCTTTCTGGCGAGTGCACGTACCCTATAGCTAAAACCTCTCAAAAAAAACCCCATATTTTATTTAACTTTATTTATTTACTTATTTAAATTTGATCAGAAAAGAGGGATGGGGGAGTGAGAAAGTAAGCTGCCAGGTCTGGGACTCAAACTGTGGTTGGCCATGTGTGAGTCCAGCACCCCTTAACCACCACGCCACCTGCTAGACCCATGATCTGTATAATTATTGAGATGTTTACATTTTAAAAATATTTATTAAATTTATTTTTTATTACCGATTTAAAATCTGACCAGAGAGATACATGGAAAGAGAGAGATTGGGAAAGTGAGAAAACAAGCTGCCAGGTCCAGAACTCAAACCGTAGCCAACCATCTGGGAGTCTAGCGCCTCAATCACCACGCCACCTGCTGGCCCCTACATTTTTTTTTTTTTTTGTGCTAAGTTTTCAAAATCCAGTGGCATTTTTTACACCTAGAGCACATACCAGTTTCAACTGGCCATGTAGAATCTCTATAGCCATGTGTAGCTAATGGCTCACATAGGCCAGACAGATCTATCAGGTAAAAAACTTAACTATATTGAAAATATACAATCATTATTATAGTGGGGGCCAGTAAGGAATTTTCCTTAAAAAAGACAACATATGTACCAGCATGGTGGTCAAGGCATCCGAATCCCACATGGCTAACTATGCAGTTGAGTTCTGGACCCAGCAGCCTGAGAAACACGCCAGGCACATGTGTATGAGTACCTAAAATCCTAAAAGAAAATAGAAGAGAAGGGATTGCACTGTGACCATCCCCCTTGGAGGATCTTCTCTCTCTCTCCTTCTCTCTCCTCTCTTGCACATGTGCCCTCTGGGAAGTTAAAAAAAGAGAAAAGACAGTATGTTGTAATAACACCTAATTCATGTTAATTATGATATTATAGTAAGTTCAGTTGAGGGTTTTGTTTTTGTTTTTAAAGAGAAATAAAACCAAAAAATCTACCAAGGTCACAAACTTTGAACTAGGTAAGAAGAGAAAAGGGTATAATGAAGGTAGAGACATCGCATACAGCCAGAAATTGAGCTGATAATAAAAATGTTAGATCATAAACTATACTATGGAAGGGGCGAATGTAGGATAGAGAATGTAGGGTGATCAGTGCTAGGTTGATTTGGCTTAATTCCAGGTTCAATAGGGAACCTAGAACTCTTAGAGTTGCAGACACCAGCGCCTGCAATAACCAGGCAGAAAACAGAAAATATTTGAAATTGCTCAAGTTGAAGTGGGGACCTGTGTAAATTGTGACTAACTCTGAGCCGGTATGTCTTGCCTAAAGATTTTTTTTTCTTTTTTTTAATTATTATTTTAATTTTTTATTTATTCATTCACATATTTTAATTTGACCAGAGATAGACAGAAAGAGAGAGAGAGGGAGAGAGGGAAAGCGAGAAAGCAAGCCATCAAGTCCGAGACTCGAACTGTGGTTGGCCATGTGGGAGTGTCCAGTGCCGTAAGCACCATGCCACCTGCTGGTTCCCACCCAAAGATATTTAAGTTGAAAATTAAATAAAATAAAAACATCACTGTCCATTTAAAACTTGGTCCATTGTATACTAGACTTCTGTTACTATGTGTTGGTATGTGTACAAGCACCACTTTGTCAGTTTTTTATTCAATAAAAATCATATTTAGGTACATCATTTCTTCTAATGTTATATTCCATAATGTGGGCATAGCATACTTGATTTATCTGTTCTATATTGGTAAATATTTATATTGTTTCTATATTCTAAGTGGTACTGGGTTAAACCTTGGGCATACAGGATTTTAACAGACAAATACGGAATCAGAGAAAGTATTTTCAAAGGGAAAAACAAAGTAATAGAAGTAGGAAAAGGTCCTGTGTTCATGGGTGTTAACAGCAAGTCATTCAGCCTTGATAAGCCTAGGGAGATTGTCCCTGGCAGATGGCCTATTCAAAGGACCTTCGATGTCAGGCAGAAGAGTGAGACTTAATTAAGTATCAAAGGAGACTGGAAGCCTTTTGTTTATTCCAGGAAGGTCACTTTGGCTGTCAGATAGAGGTGAAATACAAGACTTACTTGGCAATGTCTACATGTGTTGTCTAATTGAATCCTCTTCAAGACTTTTTTTTTTAAAAAAAAAAGAAAGATCTTTTCTATAGGGAACATGTGCTCACCAGAGAGACAGAAAGCTAGAAATCTAGAAGGGTGAATGGCCATGCTGCAATCACTTCTCCACTCTTCTCTTAGGATTTTGGACACATGTGCACACATGCCTGGTTTTAAGCTTCCAGATCCAGGACATAAACCGTGGTCACGATTATGTGGGAGTCCAGCGACCATTACGCCATCTGCTGACTCATAAAGATTTTTTTTTTAAGAAGAGATTTTTGCTATAGGGTGCATGCCCTCCCCAGAGAGACAGAAAGTGAGAAATCACCCCCTGGGGGAATGGCCACGTCGCAATCCCTTCCCTTCCATTCTCCTCTCAGGATTTTAGGCATGCATACACATGAACCTGGTATGAGTATTAAGCTGCTGGGTCCAGGACTCGAATCCTAGTCACCCATGGTGATGTAACTGTGACACCATCTGCTGGTTTCAGGCCCCTAAAGGCTTTAAAGATGACCATTTTACAGGTGAAGAAATGGAGGGTACAAAGATGAGAAGCTATTTGCTCAGGATCATGTGGCAGAAATGAGAACCTGGGTCTGACCTTTTTTAAAGTCTATGCTTCCAATATTGTTGGATTTCAAATTTGTGCCATTTAGAACCCTTTCATGAGTCCTCTTGGGATATGCTTTCTGATTAAACTGAGTTCTTTCCTTCATTGAGGTGTGAGTGAAATTACATTAGTTACCAGTTTCTGTTCTAATTGACTTTGTTTTGTTTTCTAAATAGAGACTTTTGGGGCTTAGACTTTACATGCCAGCTGGGGCCACTAATTCCTGCTTTCCTCTCATTCTCAGCTCTAAAGTGTGTGCTCAGTTGTGCAGCCTGGGTGCCAGGAAACTTTTGTCCCATGGCTGGAAGTTTACACATTTCCCACAGTTAACTCGTAACTTCCCAGTTTTGTTGGCTCATGCCAGTTTTCAAAGGTGGGATTGCCTTTCCAGTGTCAAGGGGAAGACTTGTTCATGTCTTATTTTATGGTTACAATGTGTTCTGCCTTTTTCTCTTCTTCTTGTGACAGACGGAAGGAGTTACAAAGCGTTTGGCAGAAAAGAATGACTTTGTGATCTTCCTGTTTACACTGATGACAAGTAAGAAGACATTTTTACAAACAGCAACTCTCATTGAAGATATTTTGGGTGTTAAAAAGGTGAGCTGTGTCCTCTGGCAGGTGGGATCTCAGACCATTGGATTCTCAAGTCTGAATAATGTATAGAACTCTTTTAAAAGAAATTATTCCAGGCCCAGCAATGTAGGCAGTAGGGTATGTGATACTGGAGCTGTACTGGAGTCATGGATTCAGATCCTAGGTTGACTGAAACACACCAGGGATGCTTGTGATCCTGGCTTGCTGGGAGCCTGGGGAGAGGGTTGCAGCATAGTAGGACCCTGGTCAAGGTTACCTGCCTAGCTCTTTCTCTTAATAAATAAATAAAATAAAAAAAACACAGAAATCATTTCTTCTATACTCCTAGTATTAAATTATTTCTATTACTTAAGCATTTTCAAGTATAAACTAGGTTATACTTCTTTTACTAATGGGTCTCATATAACTAGAAAATCTAAAAAAAAAAAAAAAAAAAAAATTGAACTGAAATCAAACTAGCTATATGAAACTGAAAACTTCAGATTGACCATGAGTTTAATATGATAGCTGATGTTACCTGCTGACATTAAATTGCCCCTCACTAATTATTACCATAAAGGTTCTTGTTAATGTACCTATACTATTTTGTGCTGTGTGGCAGCTCCATTCTTCTGTCAGTTTTCTGTATTTGAACTACCATGAATTCTTCAAACATAGGATATATTCCCCTTGGTGGTCACATTTGGCCTTCACTTAAGTCCACCTCTGTTTTTTCTCCTTAGTCTTTAGCGATTATGCTATATGAATTGGTTAATGGGCACTAACACAATAAGAGACATAGATGTGAGCACTGAGATCCTGCTACTTGGTCTTAAGGGGGACATTCAAGTGACTCCTAACTAATCCCACCACAGTGGTACAGGTGGCAGGATGCACTGTGCAATACTGGGGCCATATGGGGAAGCCTGAGGTTCAGCTCCAAGGTTGACCTGAACATGCCAGGTATGCTTGCAATCCTGGCTCACTGGAAGGGTTGGGGGAGAATCGCAGCAAGCCAAGATTCTGTCAGGAGTGGGAACCAGCAGTTAGCGTAATGGCTATGTTGCTGGACTCCCACATAGTCGACCGCGGTTCACGTCCCGGACCTGGTGGCTTAAAATTCATGCTGGGCACGTGTGTGTGTGTGCCCAAGATCCCAAGAGGAGAATGGAGGAGAAGGGATTGCGGCATGACCATCCCCCCGGGGGGTGATTTCTCGTTTTCTGTCTCTATGTCTCTCTCTGTCTGTCTGGCGAGCGCACGTGCCCTATAGCAAAAACCTCTCGGAAAAAAAAAAAAAAGATTCTGTCAGGAGTACCCCACCACCACTCAATGAAATAAATAAATAAATTTTAAAAACCCCTATAACTCTTTAAAAAAAAACAATGATCAAAGTGAAAACATTAAAATTTTCTTATTAGGAACTTCCAGATCCCTCAAAATAGATCAACAGACCTTTTTTCTAGAATTATTGTATTTATTTATTTATTTCTAATTTGACCAGAGATGGACAGAGCAAGAGAGTGAGAGAGGGAAAGTGAGAAAGCAAGCTGCCAGATCCGGGACACAAACCATGGTCAGCCATGTGGGAGTCCAGTGCCCTTAACCACCACGCCACCTGCCAGACCCAATAGACCTCTTTTAGAGACTCACTATGTAGGATTTTTTTTTTTTTTTTTTTTTTTTTTGGTGTAATGTTTGGTAGGACCTGGATCTTGCTTCCCCAGTTCTTGTCTATCCTAAGCTCCATTTTTGTTGTTGGCTGGTAGATTTCTCTTACTACTGAGCAACCTCTCAGAGACTTCTGTTGCAGGGAAGGGGGTGCTATAGCATTGTGGTGTTCCCAGCTCTTATTTCTTTCTCCTGCACTTTCCCCAAGTCTTGCTTGTCATTGGCCAGGCAGAAGAAGCACAAGTGTCCCATTGTGTGTAGGAAGACACGGGAGATGTGTGCAGGCCTCACACAGACCCTTTGTGTCTTTTGATAGAAAGGCTTTGTTATTTTTTCCACTAATTGTGTGCTCCAGCCAGTATGTGAGGAGGTCTCTAGGGTGGAAACTCCAGACTCCCTGGCAGTCTCAGCATAGGAGCCCGGATTGCTCCTTCACAGCTTTTCTAACCTGCACCCTTATGCTTTTCCACACCCTCTCATCCTTTTTTGTGTTGCAAAAAATAGTGATGGGTTCTACTGAGCATTATGGGTATCTTGTGAAAAGGGGATAAACACCATAAAGAAAATAGAAACCCAAATCACAAACAGGGGAAAAGATACTTGTACTTTCTATGCCTAACAAAGAATTGGTATTCGATATTGATCAAGAGTTCTTACAGATCAGCCTGAAAAAAACAACCCTGTAGAAAAATGGGCAGTGATGTGAATAAGCATTTCATAGGAGAGAAACAAATGGTTCATAAACAGAAGCAAAGATGCTTAACTTCATTGATAATCAATGAAATGCAAATCAGTACTAGAGCAAGGGA